ACAACTTCCCTCACTATTAGCTATCCTGATGGAAGATAAAGTTTGAACATTTACAAGGTAACAAGATTATCTTTCCTTGATACATCATGTCACATCTTTTGGCCCTGCTGATGGTAGCTTCGATAGCACATAACACCTACCTTGAGTTGATGTCACTTTTGGACCATTGAGCATTAAAATTAATACTTTGGAGGGAGAAAATATACTATCTTACTGCTGTGTTCCCTGATCTTGAAAAAAACAACAACCAGATTTTCATAACTATTTTGTTTGTTTTATTGCCACACCCTTTCCTCCCTTGGGTTTAAAATGGATAAATGTCAAATAATGTTTATAGAAGATATGGGTTAAGTTATTTAAAGTGGTACATAGGAAAAGGAAGGAAGGAAGGAAGGAAGGAAGGAAGGAAGGAAGGAAGGAAGGAAGGAAGGAAGGAAGGAAGGAAGGAAGGAAGGAAAACATTTTTATCCTAGTAACTTTTTGTATGGAAACTTAAAAGTATCCATTTGGGTCATTTTTAAAAATTGTCAAATTCATAAAAAGTAGTTGACCAATAAAGAAGATAAAAGTATTTTGTGTGGCTTAAAGTTGTTTTATTACAACGTTTATAAAACATGTTGCCCAAGGAAATTAGAAAGTGGGAAGGATTAAGATTAAAACAAACATATAAGTGTGAATATCCTAAAAAATATTGTTAATGGTATCCCTATCAGATTCATAGGTTGGACAAAATATATTACTTTTGGAATAATTTGAACTTTAGCAGAAGAATTTGAGAAGATGATTTTATCCTGAATTGACTTAATATATCACCACCTTATTGAGAAGATAGCAAGCGAAATATACATCTTACTGTTTTGAATGAGAATAAACTTAATGCCATTTCCTATCTAAAGAACCTAGATCACAGGTAAGTAAAATAGAACAGCTTTGAAATACCTCTGGTTCTGTTCACATACCTTGCTAAACCATAGGTAATCTTGGTTTTTCAAAACTATCTCAATTCCAATTTGTCAGTGTCATAGGAATAATAAACAATCAAACAAACATTAGAATCAAAAGGAGAGATAAAAACCAATTCTACAGGCTGATTCTTTTCTCAATATTTCAGATAGAACAAAAGCTTTCTACTTCCAAATCTGTGGCGGAAGTCTAGTCCAATATGAAATGTGAAGCCTGCTAGTTCCCTATGATTTATTTATCTTCCACAGCAGTACTGTAATAGATTATTTTGTCTTCCAACTCTGGGAAGATTTCACACAGAGTGCGCATAAACAGTGAGGCAAGTGTGACTTGATTTTGTGCTCATAATACTGTACACATACATACATACATATATACCTATGAGACCCACAGTACCAATCCTTAATATTTCTTGCACTGATCACAGAATTATTTAAAGTATTTCTAGGCTGCTTCTCAGTTTGGAAACGCTGAAAACAGTTGGCAATATTTGTTCAGCCAAAAATAAGCAAGTTAAAAAAACAGTAAAATCAAGGTAAAAATAATCCATCCAAATAGAAATGTTAGGTGGTATAAATGGCTAGAGAAGGATAACATTGAAAGGGGGAGTTAAAGATGCCTAAAACATATCAGCCTTGGGACTGTTAGATAGCACAGGGGAGGCCATTCCTCAGCACAATGAGTGGCACCATAGAGAAAGTCTGTTGTCTTTCCCCAGTAAGCCACGGCACTAGCAAGTCGGTCTGGCTCCCAAAGAAATGGGAGGCCATTGCAATTGGAGAATTCTTTAAAACATCATCTCTAACTTTATTTTCCCTCCTGCACCTGGTGTTTTGTCAGAAATTTCAATGGAACACTCTCATTCGCATTGCCCCCATGCCTGGGAAAAAAGCCAGGTCTTCAAGGCTTTCCAAAAGATGAACAGAGTCAGTGCCAGCAGAACCTTGGGTGGTAGGGATGCTTATCCTAGAGAGAAGGCACAGCTACCAAAAAAGACATGTTGCCTGAGTTTCACTGGATGACAAACCTTAATCAATTGGGATCCAGAGAATGCCTCCTTCTGTCTGATTTAATTGAACAGTAGAAATGATGGGAGTAGGGCAGTCCCTCAAATACCCTGGCTCCTTGCCATGGAGGGCAGAAGTCATGCTCATCTAAAGGCCAGCATTCCAACTGCGCATAAATGCTTTGAAAGAGGAATAAGGTCCCTTTCCGATAATAAGAGAATAGGACGGAAATACAAGGAAGACAGTAGTTTCAGGAAAGCTTATGTGGAAATTAAGTTTGAGGAGGAGATCTGAATCAGGAATGAAAGCCAGAGATTTTCAGAGGAACCCACACAGTGCTGGATAGAGCAAGCAGAAGGGCAGAATATGAAACAGCAGCAAAAAAAGAGGCAATGGAGCCAGACAGTAAATGGATCTGGTAGATGAAGCAACAATGAAAGATCAGGTAGAAATGGTCTGAACAATTAGAAATAAAGCACTAGAACCTAGGAAAGTCACTGCATGTGTGTGAATGGGTGACAGCTCTGAAATTTCAAGGCAACATGATCAAAGTGACAGTAGGACAAGATTTGTTTATAAAACTATTAGATTAAAGGAAAAAGAAACAACAGGAGGGAGTGTCAGCAAAAAAAAAAAAAGGAACTATATTACTACAAATATGTAGATAATGACCAAGGAAAGTTGAGATTTTGAAGACTGCGTAAAGCAGAAAGAATAGATATGAAGCTGCGGAAGAAATTTAAAATGTTGGTCATCACTACCCTAGGTCAAAAAACAAATGTGAAAAAATTGTTTATAACTCCAACGTTTCATTTAGGGAAAATTAGCTTATCTCTATGAGAAAGAAAGATACAGGTATTGAAGAAAGAGAATAGTGATATTAATCATGAGGGCTCACTCACATATTTTCTGTAAACTTCAGGTTTTATCTTTAGGTGCCTGAAGCAACCTACCAAATGCATGCAGCCAATCTTTAGTGTAACACGGAGAGACAAAACAATTTTATCCCAGAATAATGTGTGCCTTTTTTGAAAGTGAGATATAGATGTGGTAGACGTTAGCACTATCAAAGCAAATCTAATAGTCAGTTTGCAGTATACACAAATATAACTTCCATTATACTTTGTTCAGAAAGCATCCAATATATATCGCAAGTACAGTGCATGGTTTTATCATCTTAAAAACTAATCTGAATTAACTGTTTCTAGCTCATACATTTTTAGGTTTGAAACCATGACCATTTTCCAAACTCTCGGGCCAGTTCCTGGCAGGCAAGTGTGCATATTTAAAAGGAGATTTGCCAAAGGCCAGGATTCTGTTGCACATCTTGGCAGATGCAATCTCTGTTCCAAATGGAGCGCATCAAGATGTCATCAAGATCCTTCTCTGATCCATCTTTTACAACTATCTTACTCCATTCATGGGTAAATGGGAGGGAGAAAATCCCTTCTTCCTAAATAAAGGGGGGAGGGGCAAAAGTGGCATGCAGCAAGATGCAAGAATGGCAGGGCGGGGAAGGAAGGGCAGTCATAGGGAAAAACTTAAAACCTTCCACTTATGCTCCTTAAGATTAGGAAAGTAAGACAGAGAAGCAAAAGCTTTCCCCCCACCCCCAAGCTGGAAGTACAGGGTAACCAAATTTAAGAAAGCTGGACTTGTGTCCAGCTTTTGCCATGCCTCTATTGTAGAGCGGCCCTGACATGATTTTCTCCTGCCTTCACAATAAATATTTTTCTATTAGGGAAAAGAAAAATCAAGCAGAATCTCCCCAGGGCATTGTCACCTTCCTTTATTTGTTGAGCATTAAAATGTACTCTGACCTGCACCCGGAAAGAAGAACACAGCAGCTGCTCTTTTATCAGGAGCCTCAACCTCTGGCAGAGGCCTGGGAAAGGGCCTGGTTTTTTTCTGGAGGTTTAGTGCTAAGTGCAGAAGACTCCTTTCTGGCTTTATTTCACTGCCGAGAAGAAAAGCGCTCAACCAACGGTATGCGATGCCAGTGATTTAAAAAGCCAACCAGGAAACTAACCCCGACAAAGAGATTTGCCCACCTCCGGGCTGCACGGGTTGGCCGGGCTCAACGCAAAGCGCTCGTTCCTGCCAGTGCAAGTGGCCCTTGGGCTTGTCCGTCAAATGGGAAATGTCAGTTCGTAGCGAAGGGAGTCGATTCCCTTCGGTTCATTCTAGCTTTCGCAGGTAGCCGCCTAGAAATCAGCCTCTGCTACTCGGGAAACCAGGACCCGCTTCCTCCATCGCGGTATTTACTACACACATCTTGAGGCGAACTAGCATCCACGCGCAAAATTCACAACTCAACGAGCCACGATGCAGCACCACTCGACACAGGTTACATCTTCCGTTCCGCTGCCTAAAAGCATCTTTCATTCCCCCACCCCTCCCAGCACCAAAAAAGAAAAAGAAATGGGGGAAATCCCCGCGTGCCTTTGTCCTTATATAGCTGCTAATACACACAGCCTGGTTTTTTTTCCTCCTTCAAATCTAAGGCGCGAGGAGGGGGCGAGCGAAAGAGAAGGCAGCCTCTTCTAACCCCCCACCCACACCCCAATTTGATAAAATCCCCAAGCTTAGGGCACCTCGTAACTGTTACAGAGCGAGGCGTTTTCGGTTCTTCTAAAGTCGGGCCAAGACCCCTTTAGCAGTGATATTAATGCCGAATCGCTCGCTCGCTCGTTCGCCCGGGCTCTCTGGAATCTGATTTCTAAAGGAAACGGCCAAAAGCCTCTGGCCGACGATTCGCTATGGGAGAGGCGTTCAGCACCACAATCCTGGACAGCGACGGGCGCCTGGTCACATTTACCGCCCGCATCTCTCCCCACTTTTCGCCCTTGCCGATCCCCGAATGCTTTCTACCCCAAACACGCGAGTGTGTATGCGTGCGTGTGTGTGTGTGTGTGTGTGTTTGAGTGTGTGTGTGCTTGTCTGTGGCGCGCGGCGCGTGTGCCCGCGCGCCCCGTGCGCGCGGCTAAACTGATGCATCCAAATCCATAATGGCCATATTAGGATCCTCACCTTTCAAATCATTGCGTCCGCCTGGCGCCTTCCTCGGCGGGGCTTCTACGCTCTCATCCTCGCTGGCAGCCCGTGGCGAAGAGGAGGCGCGAGGAGGCGACGAACAGGTCCGAGGCGAGGCGAGGCGAGGCGAGGCAAAAACCTGCGACAGTCAGCAAAAGGCTTCAGCAGTCCCTGGCCTCGCTGGTCTGCCCCTCAGCGCCAGGCTGCCTTCCCAGCCCAGCTCGCAGGCTTGCCAGTCCCTGACTCAACATTCCCAGAATTCCCGTGCTTGGACGCCGGGGCGGAGCGACTCTCCGCCAGGGGCGGCAGCGAGCTTCCTTGGAAGAGAGGCCGGGTGCGAGCTGGACCTCCCGCGGGAGCCGCCTCCGCCTCCTCTTCCTTCCTTCCTTCCGGGCATCTCTCTTCTCTCCCTCCGCTCAGCGCAAGTCGGGCAAGTCCCAAACCCCACCCTTATAAATGCGCGCGCGCGTGTGTGTGTGTGTGTGTGTACGTGCGTGTGTAAAATAGAGTATGGGGTGCCTTCAAGAATTGAGAAAAGCCCCAAAATTCCCCAAGATTCTCTGGTTTGGAGCAACTCCGATTTTTTTTTCTTTGTTTTTAAGAAAACCCATTGAATGGAGGAAATGTGAAAAATAGTCACATTGTGCCAAAGTTTTGATTCCTCTGTATAAAAGGTTGGAAATTCCCCTGAGAATGCAAACATAAAGTCTCCGTTATTTATCAAAGGTCCTTCGTGTAACCTTTTTTTTAGGAAGCTTCATCAGAAATTAATACCAGGTTTTAACATTACAAGCAAATGTTGTTTATTATACAATAGTTCTTAGTTATTGCTATGATTTGGTTTGATTTCAACATGGCATTGTAAGCTGCTCGGGGCAAATCATAATAGTAATTTAAATCATATTAATTCCATTAACCCAGTAAGGTATCCCGATGTACATGCATGCTAATTATGTGTTTTATGTGTGCATTAAGATATATATATTAAGTGGCAATCCTCTGGAGGGAAGGAGGGAGGAGGAAGGAAGGAAGGAAGGAAGGAAGGAAGGAAGGAAGGAAGGAAGGAAGGAAGGAAGGAAGGAAGGAAGGAAGGAAGGAAAGAAGGATCTGGTTGATAAGTCTTTGCATAGATGAAGTTATAAAATGTAATAGAACTTGGGCTAGTAGAACCAAAGGTGTGATGGGTTCATGTTCCAAAACAGCAGATTCATTGAAAAGAAGCTTTTAGTCAATACTTGTAAATAAATGAGTTGAGTAGGATCCCAAAGGATAGGCAGACTGTTATGTACTAGGTTTTATTTTCAAAGCATAGCCTCCAATCCAAAAGCAGCAGTTCAGCACTTTGGACGGGTCTGTGAGAGACATCATTTGTTGCATTTCTAATAGAGCGGAAATGCCTCTGATAATGTACAGTTCCTGATTTGAATTAAACTATATCTCCCGGGCTCCACCTCCCCACCCCATCCCACTATTGTGCTGTGAGGAGAAACTTAAGGAAACAAATATGCGTATGCAACATGTGTGTGTGAGAGAGAGATTGGCAAGTAGAAAAGTATTCTATATGTACAGTATATCCTTGGATAATCTTGCTTTTTTCTTCTCATCATTCATTTAGGAATATGGATCAAAGTGAACTGCAAACTGTACCACAATCTGGCTTTTTGTTTTTAAGATGAATGAAATTTGCTTTTTCAAACATTTCTTTTCAGTTTTTCCTTCCTTCAAAAAGGAGAAGTAGAAGATGGTTCTGTTAGTCACATCCTGATAAAGTTCTTGTGAAGCTATCAGAAAAAGTATACCAATTTAAAATAGGATCTTCTTTTTTTAAAGAGCAACCATTTTTCTTCAAATGTGACAAATGAATCTCTTAAGATAATAGTTGCAATCAATGTCCAAGTGTGTATAATAGCAGCTTTTTCTAAGCTAATTTAGATGACTTCAAAGTACTCAGCATGAAACAGAACACTGAACTACAGTAAATTCTTGTTTGCTAAATTCTTATGACATCTTGTATATAGATAGGTTTTGCAGGAATTGTTTCTATAGACAATGCTTATTTTTTCATCAAAATAAGAACCGGAGCTGCCTAAAGGCATATTTGAAGATTCAGACTATTCTAATTCATATTCTCTCTCTTTCTCTCTCTCCCTCTCCCTCCCTCCCTCCCTCTCTCCCCCTCTCCCCCATTCCTTCCCTCACCCCTCTCTTTCCCCCCCCTCTCTCTCACACACACACAATTATATTGTCTCAGATACAGTAAAAATTTCCTGGTAAATCCCATCAGTTTACTTCCATGAAGCAGAGAGCATAGGCATTTCATGAGTTCATACTCTCCACATTGCAGACTTGTCCTAAGCCTTCACAGGCCCAATTCATGTAGGGGGATGTTCCATGTGAATTACTTTTTCCCACTTAGAGCAGCTATGATATGGCCCAAAAGTGGGAGATACTTACTTTAATTGCTATGCAGTTCATTATTGTTACCAAACTGCAAGGATGACGCACCTATCCATTTTGCCTGTTCAGATACCTAATGGCCCCTCTAAAAGGTACTTGAGATTTTTCCCAAGCCTATGATGGGCAATCCTGCTGAGGCTTTAGTGAATCCTAAAATATGGAAGTAATATGACCCTTGAATAAGATTGCATCTGAGTAGCCACTCCTTATTCAGTGATCCAGCGAACTACTTTGTGTACCATGGAGTCCAAGAGACAAAGCAACAGAGATTACTGAAATGCTGGTGGGAAAGGGAAGAACAAGTCTAACAGAACATGAATGGGAACTCAGGAATGTATATGTACCACAGCAATAATACTGACAAAATGACAGTATTTTCAACTCATAATCTGTCCACACAGTTCTGGCCAACAAATCCAGTTAAATCCATTCATTTTAATGAATGAAGAACAGTTAGTGAACAGAAGAGCCTTTATAAGAAGATCTATTTTACATCTGTGAAGAATTTGAAGGACAATCAGAGTACAAAAGCACTCAGGTTTGTTTTGAGATACACACTGCCCTGGACAGATTTTATTTATTCATTCATCATATTTATATAGCCATCATAAAAACTCAAATCAGTTTCAGAAGTCTGATGCAAGCAATAACCCAACATGCATGAGTGTGGAGTAATCCCCAAGCACTTTCCTTTCTTATAGTTATTTTTTAAAAGATTTTTAAACTAGAAAAAAGCAAAACAAAAGACCAGTTTCTAGTATCATTTAAAGGAAGCTTTGCAGCTCCCACTGGGATGGAAGAGCGATCCTGAGGGATTACAGGTGGTCCTCATTTAATGACCACCTGTCCACGACCATTCAACTATGATGGCACTGAATGAGTGATAGTTGCTACCGGTCCTTACATCTGTCACAGTATCCCCATAATCACATGATTGTGATTAAAGTGCTCAGTGCCCAATTTGATCTTGCAGTGTCCCACAGTCACATAATCATAATCAAGGCAAAATCAATGGAGAAACTGGCAGGAAATCAGAAATTATAGTCACGTGAGATCCTTGCTTAACAATCCATGTGAATCTTGTTTAATAACAGCAACTAGGAGTGTTGTTTAATGATTGCAACTAGGCACCATTTGTCCCAAGGGTGCTTTTTCAAAGGGCAACTGGACTTTCTTTGTTATCCTTGAAGACTTTTCATATCTCATCCAAGAAGCCTCTTGAATGAGAAGTGAAATGTTTTCAAGGAAAAACAAGAAAGTTCAGTTGCCTTTGAAAAAGCACTTTTGGGACAACCATAACATGGACGCCTGAGAATCTCCATAGACATTGGGCACAGTTGGGTTTTTCATCTTACAATTATACGTTGCTTAGAAGTTACGTCAGGGGTGGGTTCTACTTACCTTTACTACCAGTTTGCATCATGCCCGCGCACTCTTCTGTGCATGCACAGAAGCTTCTGTGCATGCACAGATCACCTATGATGATGTCCGGGTCAGTGGACAGAGCCTCCCACCAGTTTTACTACCGGTTCTTGCGAACCGGTCTGAACCAGGGGCAACCCACCACTGAATTACATGTTGCTTAGGTTTCCACTTTTAAGGAAGATGTAATTGCAAGATGAAACTAACTAGTAGAATTAACTAATTCCACTAGTTAATGTTGTTAAGTGAGGACTACTTGCAGTTTACCTTCTTGTAAATGAGTTGTTTCCAACTGGCCACTCCTATTGTGGCAATAGTATCTCAGCATCCCAAATGTGTCCCAGCCAAATAAAGTTCTATTATTTAATCCCAGTCTGTACTAATGTTCTAGGGTATAGGCTTTACTTCCAAGCGTACACAATAAAGTACCATAAAAAATATTTAGCATGTCAGGAAGATGCCAAAGATAGAAGCATTCTTTTTTCTTGGTTTCTATCAATAGGAGAGAATCTACATTTAAATGGCAATGCCTAGGGTTTTTTTTGATAGTCAGGATGACTTGGGAATAATGGAAGTTGTGATTAAATATATCTGTGAGTTATCAGACTCAGAAGAACTGAGCTAACTTCTTGTGGTTGGAAGCTCTATAGGAAGATCATGAATTACACAGTAAATTTGCATAAGATCCTCACAAACACAGGAAAATAACAGGAGGAAAATATCAACTGAAATCTGCATTAAAATAAAAATAATGCAAAACATTGTTTTGTTAACGTTCAATTTCAATAAATACAACAAATGCAATCTATATATGAATTTAAATAACTCTATTCTTACTCAGGAAGATTTATGTCAGATCAGTCCAAATTCATTTTTTTCCTCTGGAAATGCTGGTATAAACACTCATACACTGGTAACTCTTAATATAGCATGAAGTCTGTAAGAATCCTGAAATATTACAGTATATGAGGATTCACGTCTACGAGTTTGGGTCTTTCTGTGAAAAACCATGGACATATCAAAAGCCTTAATAGTATTGAAAACCCCAATTTTTCATTAAATGAATATCATAAAATTATGGTTAGAGATGCTAGGAATTATTCAAAGGCAAAATAATATTGCATGAATGTGGTTCAGTTTATCCCTTAATTTTGTCTTTCTTGTAGGCCAATTTGGTCTCTCTAGTTTTCAGTAAGCCTTCATGGTATGTAACTTCAGTGCATCTTCTTAACTGGCTTTCAGATATTCTTCCAATGCGTTTTCTTCTTCTCCAGCTGTCTGGTGTACTTGCAACAGTTCATGCCCACCTAAACTTCTTGGTAAGTAAAGTCTGTCAACATTGCTATGTGGTGAAGGGCATAATTTATTGCCATTACTTTTCTGCTCCTCCTAACTAGGATATCCCAATATTGTTTGAGCCCAGTCTGCTATTCTAGCTGTGTATCTAATGACTAGAATTGCCCAGGTGTTCATTGTCTTGATGGTATTTCCTCCACTGAGTTTCAACTTTAATGCCCTCTTCACTCTTGT